CTACGGTCAGGAGAGACATATGTCTTCAGTCTGCAAAGCGCCAAAAAAGGATGCGAACGAGCAGGAGGCTCACATCGTGCAAGATGCCTTGATCCTTGCTATGAACAACGATTCTGATTCTTAGGTTATTGACTCGGGAGCCTTATTCCATGCCACTACTAATAGGAAACTTCTTCAGAACTATATAGTAGGGGACTTTGGGAAAGTATACTTGGGGGATAACGAGCCTTGCAGTATTGTTGGAAGAGACGACATGGAGATTCACATGAAGGACTCCAAGTGGAATCTGAAGAACGTCAGACATATACCGAAGCTAAAGAGGAATCTTGTTTCGCTGGGCTAGCTTAGAGCAGAAGGCTTTAAGTGGAAGACCACTTAAAGCTCAAAAGCTAGAGCTTGTCCATACAGATGTTTGGCGTCCAGCTAGCATATCTTCTTTTGGTGGTTCGGCTTACTATGTCACCTTTATCGATGATCACTCAAGGAAGGTGTGGGTATACTTCATGAAGCACAAGTCAGATGTGTTCGAGATCTTCAAGAAGTGGAAAGCCATGGTGGAGAATTAGACAGATCTGAAAGTGAAGTGTCTGAGATCAGATAATGGTGGAGAATACGAGCTGGAGGAGTTTAAGAGTTTTTGTGCTCTAAATGAGATTCGTTTGGAGAGGACTACTCTAGGGACGCCATAACAGAACGGTGTTGTAGAAAGGATGAACAGGACATTGACAGAACGTTTGAGGAGCATCCATTTACATGTAGGTCTACCTAAGACGCTTTGGGCAGACACGATGCATACGACAGCTTACTTGATTAATCATGGGCCATCAGTTCTATTAAATTTTAGGATTCCAGAAAAGGTTTAGAGTGGTACGAAGGTTAATCTCTTACACTTGCGAGTATTTGGTTGCGTAACATATGCTCATACCAATGACCATGTTAGGGACAAGCTAGAAGCAAGTCACAGAAGTGTACATTCATTGGATACGACATTGATGAGTTCGGGTATCGTCTTTGGGATGAGAAGAACATGAAAATCATTAGGAGAAGAGATGTGATATTCAATAAGGTGGTGATGTACAAGGGCAGGGACAATGCTAAGGATAGCCAAAGCAGTAGCAGCAGTACTACGGATGCAGGTGGATCCGAGTATATGAATTTGGAGGAACTTCCAGATAAGGGCAACAATGTCAGTTCTGACCGAAGAACGGAGGAGACTTCAGGTGCAGAGACGACTACCCAGGGCGAGGAGCTTAGGAGGTAATCCAGGGTACCCAAACTGATTCCCAGATATCTCTTTTCACTTGATTATTTACTTTTGATGGATAGCAGTGAAGCAGAGTGCTATGAGGAGGCTATGAAAGTTAGTGAATCTTAGCAGTAGGAGCATGCGATGTAAGAAGAGATGGATTCTCTCCACTCAAACGAGATATGGGAGTTAGCCTAGCTAACTGCACAGAAGAAAGCTTTACATAACAAGTGGGTCTACAGAGTCAAGCAGGAGAGTGATGGAAGCAAAGGTACAAGGCCAGATTAGTCGTGAAGGGGTTCCAACAGCGGGAGTGAGTGAATTATACGAATATATTTCCCCCGTTATGAAGCTTACAACCATTAGAGTGGTGTTGAGCTTAGTAGCTGCAGAAGATCTCTACCTTGAACAGTTAGATGTGAAGATTGCCTTTCTTCATGGTGACTTGGATGAAAATATCTACATAAAGCAACTTGTTGGCTTCATTGAAGAAGGAAAGGAAGAGATGGTGTGTAAGATCAAGAAGAGCTTGTACGGATTAAAACAGGCTCCAAAACAATGGTACAAGAAGTTTGATAACTTCATACGGAGCAATGGCTATAGAAGATATATTTTAGATCATTGTTGCTACTTCAAGAGGTTCGATTCTAGCTATATCGTGTTATTATTGTATGTTGATGATATGTTAGTTGCAGGACCGTGTTTAGAGGAGATAAATAAATTGAAGAAGCAGTTGACGAATAAGTTTACTATAAAGGATCTGGGTGCAGCGAAGCAAATTCTTAGGATGCGAATCAGTAGAGATGAAGCTGAAGGGACGTTGAAGTTGAGTCAAGCTGAATACATCAAGATGGTACTTCAGAGATTCAACATGGAGAATGCCAAGCCCGTCGACATGCCCCTTGAGAGTCAATTCAAGTTATCTAAGGAGTAATCACCCAAGATAGATGAGGAAAAGGAGCACATGAACAGAGTATCATATTCATCAGCCATTGGTAGTCTTATGTACGCGATGGTTTGCATGAGGCTAGATATCGCCCATGTAGTAGGAGTTGTGAGTAGGTTCGTAAGCAATCCAGGAAAGCAGCATTAGGAAACCGTGAAGTGGATATTACCTTATTTGAGAGGGACTACGGATATGACATTATGTTTTAGGAGAAAGGAGTTGGTACTACGGGATACGTAGATGTAGATTTTACCGGTGATCATGATACTAGGCAAAGTACAATGGGATATGTTTATACCTTAGCGTCGATAGCAGTGAGCTGGGTCTCACGTTTGCAGAAGATAGTAATGTTCACGACTGAGGCAAAGTATGTCGCAGTGACTGAAGCTAGCAAGGGGATAATTTGGTTGACCGAGTGCCTAGAAGAGTTGGGTTTGAAGTAGGGGAACAACGTTTTTTATTGTGATAGCCAGAGTGCTATACACCTTGCTAAGAATCCAGTATATCATGCCAGAATGAAGCACATCGATGTACGATACCACTTCATACGCTCGTAGATAGAGGATGGCAAGTTGCGATTGGAGAAGATTTTGGGGAGCCAAAATCCTATGGATATGTTGACGAAAGCAATAACTATCAACAAACTGGAGTTGTGCGCAACTTCAGTTAACCTTCACGTGTAGGAGATGAAGGTGAAGCCACACTAGGAGGACCAGCGGGATCGCTGAGATGATGATGATTGAAGAATGGATTTATCCAGGTAGGAGAAGATGCTTACGAAGATGGTAGGAGTTCGGGAGAGCTCGTTGATGGCGGTTTGATCTCCAAGTAGGAGATTGTTAGTCTCGAGAGTGTAGCCTGAAATCAAATCAACGAAAAAAACTGGAAAAACCCAGTTCGGTCGACCGACATGCTTGGTCCGGTCGACCGCGACGCCTGTAGGAAACGAGCGTGAGAAGCTTGCTCTGGCCGGTCGACCGACAGGGATGGTCCGGTCGACCGAAAAACCTGTAGAAATCCAAGCCCAGAATCGAGCTCTGGCCGGTCGACCGACACGAGGACTCCGGTCGACCGACACGAGGACTCCGGTCGACCGAAAAGGTGCACAAGAATCCTGTAGGAAACTGACGTTCTGACCGGTCGACCGAAACACATGGTCCGGTCGATCGAAAGCAGTTTTTCAAGTTTTCTGGATTGTTTGGGATTCCGTTTTGGGCTGGATTTATATATATATCCTAATACGTTTTTAGGGTAATGATAACATGAGAAAAAGAGGGTTTTGACGGCTATTTGAGAGAGATATCTGAGAGAGATAAAAACCTATTTTTGTGGGCATTGTAATCTTCTTCAATTAATCAAAGAATTGAGTGGTGTGGCTTCCGTGGACGTAGGCACGTTTGCCAAACCTCATTAAATCTGGTGTGTTCCTTCTTGTTTATCTTTCCTGTAATTTTCTATTATTTGCGGTGATTTTCCTACTTGTTAAACTCTTAGGACAAGATCCGGAAGGGTACGGGTTCAATTGATTGTTTCGAATCCCCAACACGCAATAATATGAACAATCTAAACTTAGAAATCTCATGGTTTTCTCCATAACTTTTCAATTCTTAATTATTTCAAAGATGTCGCCAACCTAAAAGGTCTATAATTGGCACCGAGAAAGGAAAATTTGATACTCATATTTAATTGAGTTCAAGCATCCCCGTGTTCCCTTTCCAATCAAATTTTATTCCAGGCTGTTTTGTTTTCTCAACGGGCATAGGAAACTCAGTTTAATTTCATGAACTCTTAACATTAGTTATGGATCACGGGCAGTTATGAAGCTATGTACCTATGATAAACATCAATCCGACACTGTTACGTCACTCTGCTATTGTTTACCAGTACGGAGTACGGTATCCATACTTATTGCCAACTTGTTTTCCACCATCCTGATTAAGTGTAATTTGTGCACATTTTATTGTTCAAAAGAGAACAAATATAGAACAACTGAAAGAGATGAAATTTACCATCAATTCCTTTCTCAATGGTAGATTTCATGATTTGATTCTCCCACAATCTCTATTATTCTTTCTTCTTTATTCTCCAAAGAACAATCCCTCCCTCTTATCTTCTGTGGCTCTGAATCCTATTAGTCATCCCTTAACCTTAAAAAGTTTTTCTATTCAAACATATCCAATTACCAACTGGACTCTACGGCCTGCTATAAAGGATTTTCAACCCGTCATATATATGTTAACTTTCTAACCTCGGGTGTCATCTTAAAATCTATTCCAGTATATGCCAAAACTTTAATATTGTGGTGAAGATTAAGGATTAAATTTTAAACATAGCTTCTTTAAATATGTGATGGTAGTTGAACTTATCTTCTTCTAACACAATTTTAAAGTCCATTCTATAAGAAGTGTGAAATATAAAATTATATCCCTCAACTCTCAGCATAACTCTAGAGTTTTTGTTATAGTTCCAGTGAACCATTAGCATGGTAGTGGAGCCATCAAGGTTCAATTCTTAGTAACAACAAATTTAAAGTGGGTTTTAAGAAAATATATACCGTTGAGTTAGTTCAGTTTCAACCTATAAAAAAAAATACACTCAACCTGCACGGTAATGAAAATAAATATTCTTCAACCCTCACCATAATATGTCCCTAGACCCTCACCACAATTCTAGAGCTTAGATGCAGCGACAGGAACCTTTGCCAAGAATTAAAAGTTATAATTTATACTCCTGACACCTATGTCACACTTCTCTCTTGTATAAAAGGAACACCCCTGCCAGCTGCTTCTTCGCACTCAAGTCATCTCAGCTGCAACACTCTCTTCTTCATAAATGGCATCAACTTCGCAGTGGACATCAAAGCAAAACAAGATTTTTGAGAAGGCTCTCGCAGTGTATGACAAGGACACCCCCAGCCGCTGGGAGAATGTGGCTCGTGCTGTAGGAGGAAAGACCGCTGAAGAGGTGAAGAGGCATTATCAAGTTCTTGAGGAGGATATCAAGCAGATTGAGTCCGGTCGTATTCCCTTCCCTAACTACAGATGAAGTAGCATGTCATTTTCGTTGTACTTCCTTATGTTTCTTGAAGTTCTTTATTCAGTTCTCTGTTATAGTTATATTAGTATTGAATAGAAATCCAAATCCTTTCTGTTAATCACTGATATAGTGTGTGACAAGTCTAAAGAGAGTCAAATTCAACTACAAGAAACACCAGCTGAATGTTGTTACATGTATGAAGAGTATTTTCAATTGATTGTTACCACTGTTACCATAATGTACTTGTCAAAGTCTTTCTAATAATTACACCACAAGTCTGAAGTCGTGATGAGAGTTGAGTGTTATATTTCATGGTAAGACATGAGGGTTCTATTTTTATATTCTAACATGCTACCGTAGGTAGAGTGTCCTTTTTTATGAGCTAAAACCTAGACTCACGCAATGGTATCGATTTTTTTAAAATCCACATAAAATGTCGTGACTAGTAGAATTTAAACATTGGGTTGCTTTGATATCATCTTAAATTAAATCCCTCTAATCATTACACCATGACTCAGAAGTTGTGGTGAGAGTTGAGGGTTATATTTTTATGTTACAATAGTACTAATGTGCAGATTGCATGGTATTGTTTGGTTTTATTCTAATATGAAACACAACAGTAGACCTGAGTTATTCGGTTCTCTCTTTTGTCCTAAAGAGGCTTTAAATCCCACTAAAAAAATCCTATGCCTCTCATAAAATCAAGCAGATAATGGTTCCAAGTAAGAGGTACCCCTCTCTAGCCACATGCATGTGATTTCTTTATGCATTCATACTCTCTTTGATTTTGTCTTTTGATATTAAACATGAAGGAAATAGATTATGCAATTCATACTCTTGATAACAAAAATTTAATACATTTTTATACTTATTTTTGTGGCAAACTTAGGTATCCGAAGTTACAGTGAAGAAGGGGTGTTACAAGTTAAAGTAGGAGACAACGTAGTGAAAGGGAATGTAGCTGATCCATGTAGTTCTTGTAAAACCCCAAAATTTTTATAAGGAATATGTGTGAATTATTAGTAATAAATAATTCCTTTATGATAAATAATCATATATATATTAGATGAATGTGACTATTAGTGTTTGGGAACCCAACAAGTGTTTATATGTGAGAGAAATTGAGTGGTTTGAGCATCATGTGGTAAATCAATCTAGGCTGGCATTTTTCTTCTGAGCGGTCGACCGCAGTGGACGCGACGGTCGACCGCATATCAGTCTCGCACTTAAGAAATCTTTTTCTTATTGTGCGGTCGACCGCACTGATCGCGGCGGTCGACCGCCCAACAAGCAGAGAGTTTTCTGGGTTTGGGTCTAAACAGGTTTCGGGTCGAATTGTGGGGTTAGTATATATGCTAATGAACCCAAGAGAGCCTCTTTTCATCTAAAATCAGAAACCCTAGCCCCCCTCTCTCCCCTCAAACCCTAGTTCTCACTTCTTGGTGATTTGGGAGGAGCTTTGAAGGGTTTTTCAGCGGATTTTTGGTGGATTCAGCGAGATGGATCATCTTCCTTCAGATCTAGGGCTTTGTTCTCATCAGAGGCGAGTAACTTCTCGCCCAACTTCTTCCCTTTTTATGTTTCATGTTTTATTTTGGAGTTTAATCCGGTTTTATTGAGCCAAAACCGTATTTTTTGTAGATACAATAGATCCTTATGACATATGATATGATAATCAAATGTTTCAGATTTTAAAAGCACACCAACGAACTGTATTAAAGAGTTCTAGATCTGAAAATGGTTTTAAAAAGAGTAAATTTCTGATTTTATTGAATAAACAATTTTTAAACCATGTTTATATATGTTTGGGATCTTGATGATAGATTTTAAATGTCTAAATTCGTTGTCTTCTGTTCTATGACTTTGTATAAATGTTAGATTTACATTAATAGAGAAATCATCGAGTTTGATTGTGATTTGAAGCCGACAGAAACCCTAACTGGGCTTCTATCTGCTTCGCGGTCGACCGCTCTGAGATGCTTCCAGCAGAAAAGTTTCTGCTCTTTGAGCGGTCGACCGGCATGACCTTAGCGGTCGACTGCCGCTCAGTTTTGAGCCCAGTAAATCTCGGCTCTGTGAGCGGTCGACCGGAGTGGTCTCTGCGGTCAACCGCCGCATAATTTTGTGCCTGTTGACTTTTTGTTGACCTTTCCGCGTGTTCGAGAGATCACCTCATTTATCTCCCACTAGTTTGTGATGTTAGTGATTTATCTACACATGGGGTTTGACTTTTGACACAAATTTAGACCCGCACATCGAAACACGTGCAAGATTGGGATATGTATATCTTTCCACATGTACTAGTGACAATTTAGCCTCTTTGTTCATAGTCTATGTGTTTGGCATACATTATTATTAATCCATGTGTTGGATACTTATCATCTCAGTCCATGTGTTGGACATGTATTTTATTCAGTCCATGTGTTGGACAAGCATTACCTTTAGTCCATGTGTTGGACATTTTTGCTAAACCTTGAGCATGTTTCACATTTGAGTTTTGAGCACGACATATCGATAAAGTTTGGACATGATAGCTACCTTGGCTGGGCATAACACTTATTGTAACTTTGCACCTTTGACATAACTGTGATTATTGCTAGAGATGGGATTATTGTCTTTTCTTTATTGTTCATGTATTAGACTCCGGGTTTGGTACTTAGGGATTTTCAATTTGAGATACAAGGTATATACATGAGGGTTTCCTTGTTTGGATTATTTCGCTCGACGTACTTATGCTCGTGTTAAAATTTCCTAAGTACTAAGACCCCCTTTGCTTCAGGGCAATTGTTTATACATATACATTTTGTGATAACTGTATTTTCTTATACAACGAGCCCTCTCCCTTGGGGTTGGTTGTGATGTTGCTCGCTAGCGCTTTGACGCTCGTTGTCCCTCCCCCTTTCAGGTCACGAGCCAGGAGCCCGGAGAGTCGCAGGTTAATGGTGACACACTTTAGTGTTCAGCTATCTTTTCTAGTTATTCTTTATGTTGGAGCTCCACCGTTGTATTTGTTAGACATTTGAGAACTATGTTATAGATGTTGTTAAGGTTGTATGCCTTATTTCCTTTACTCAGACTTATTGTATTTGAGGCTTGTTGAAAACTCTAGTTTGTTCATTTCAGACATTGACCTTGTACTTCGGTATGTTGGATGATGAAATATTATTATGATCTCT